GATCTTGAATTATCAAGATTGCCTCCTACATCAGAGTCTGTGTAACAAACAAGTTCAGGCTTGCCATTACCAAAGCATAACTTTAAATCTGCAGTACCTTTCAAATACCTTAATATCCATTTTACTGCATCCCAATGTTCTTTTCCAGGATTGGAAAGGAATCTACTAACAGTACTAACGGCATGTGCAATATCTGGTCTAGTGCAAACCATAGCATACATCAAGCTACCAATGGCAGAAGAGTAAGGAATACGAGACATCTCCTTTTTCTCTTCATCAGTAGATGGACTCTGACTAATACTTAATTTGAAGTGTTTAGCAAGAGGAGTACTAACCACTTTTGCATCTATCATATTGAACCTCTTGAGTACCTTCTCAATGTATTGCTTTTGGGACAGAAATAACTCCTTTCTATATCTGTGTCGGTGGATTTGAATGCCCAAGATTTTCTTTGCTGGCCCCAAGTCCTTCATCGCAAACGATTTGCTCAGCTGCTTCTTAAGGACTGCGATTCTGGATTTATTCTTGCCAACAATAAGCACGTCATCCACATAAAGCAATAAAATAATAAAATCATCATCAGAGAACTTCTGGAAGAATACACAGTGGTCTGAAGAAGTTTTCTTGTACCCTTGTTCTTCTATGACAGATTCAAACTTCAAATACCATTGCCTTGGAGCTTGTTTCAATCCATACAATCTCTTTTTCAATTTGCAGACATAATTTTCTTTTCCCTTAGTTACAAAACCCTCAGGTTGCTCCATATAAATCTCCTCATCTAAATCACCATGAAGAAAAGCAGTCTTGACATCCATCTGCTCAATCTCTAAATCTAGACCTGCGGCTAAGCCTAGAACCACACGAATAGAAGACATCTTCACAACAGGGGAGAAAATTTCATCAAAGTCAACTCCCTTCTTCTGGCCAAAACCTTTAACAACTAACCTCGCCTTGTATCTAGGCGCAGAGGTATGGTTATCTTGCTTTATTCTGAATATCCATTTGTTAGATAAAGCTCTCTTACCTTTCGGCAATTTCACTAACTCATATGTGCCATTCTCATGGAGTGACTTCATCTCATCTTACATCGCTTCGATCCAATGATCTTTGTGATTATCTTGCATGGCTTCATCATAATTCTCAGGTTCTCCCATGTCAGTCAAAAGTACATACTCATCAGGAGGATAGCGCATGAATTTTTGCTTCTCCCGTGTAGATCTTCTAAGAGAGGTTTCAGGAGCATTCGAAGTAGTTACCTGTGCAGGAATTGGTTGTTGATCAACCAAAACTTCATCAACTGGAGCATCCATAACATCTATACCATGATGATCATTTTGATCTTGATCACTATCTCCATCATTGTCTTGGGTTCATTCATGTGCAATAGGTGTCTTAGAAATTGAAACCGGATCAATATCAACTAAGCTCTCATTACTCTGAGAATCTATCTTCTCAGCTTTGTCAATATCTTCAATAGTTTGGTCTTCAAAGAATATTGCATCACGACTTCTAATAAGTTTATTGTCAATTGGATCATAAAAACGATACCCAAACTCATCTTGACCATAACCGATAAAGATGCACTGCTTAGTTTTGACCTCCAGTTTCGATCTCTCATCTTTAGGAATATGCACACAAGCTTTACACCCAAAAACTCTCAGGTGATCATAAGAAACATCTTTGGCAAACCAAACTCTGTCCGGGACATCACCATCCAAAGCAACAGCAGGAGACAAATTGATAACATAGGCAACGGTGTTAAGTGCTTCCGCCCAAAATGTATTTGGAAGTTTAGCCTCTGAAAGTAAGCATCTAACTCTCTCAACTAGAGTTCTATTCATCCTCTCTGCCAAACCGTTCAATTGAGGCGTCTTGGGCGGAGTTTTCTGATGACGAATTCCTTGTTCCCTGCAATAGTTATCAAAGGGACCACAATATTCACCACCATTGTCAGTGAGAATACATTTTAATTTCTTCCCCGTCTGTCTCTCAGCTAAGGCCTGAAATTCCTTAAACACGCCAAGTGCTTGATCTTTAGATTTCAAAGGATACACCCAGAGCTTAGGAGAATGATCATCAATAAAGGTCACAAAGTAAAGTGCACCATCTTTTGACTTTACTTTAAAAGGACCACACAAATCAGAGTGTACTAGCTCCAATAAATCGGGCTTTCTTGAGGGAGGATGACTATGAAAGGAAACCCTTTTCTGTTTGCCAACTAAACAATGGATACACCTTTTCAGCTTTGCTTGTTTCAATCCAGAAAACAAACTTTTCTTAGCCAAACACGTAATCCCCCTATCGCTCATATGACTCAATCTTCTGTGCCACAATTCTGATAAAGTATCACCTTCCACCATATTTATTGAGTCATTAAGAATAGGGCCCCGTGTCACATATAAATAACCAGACTTGACTCCCCGAGCCACTACTAACGAGCCCTTAGTGAGCTTCCATTGGCCATTAAAGAAGGCATTATGGTAACCTTCATCGTCTAATCTTCCTGCGGAGATCAAATTGAAAGGAAAGTCTGGAGCATGCTTGACATCTTGAAGAACTAACGTTGAACCATTATTAGTTTTCAAACAAACTGTGCCAACACCAAACAACTTAACTTCACTAGCATTGCCCATCTTTGACACTCCAGAATCAACAGCAGTATTAGATGAGAAAAAATCTTTTCTTGGTGTGACATGTGAGGTAGCTCCAGAATCTACTATCCAGCTAGTCTCATGGGATACCAAATTGATGACGTTTTCATCATAAGCAAAAAAAAGGTCATCTCGAACAATAGCAGCAACATTGTTCTCGTTATTTTCAATTTTCTTTCCTTCTCTAGTGTCTTGATTCAACTTGCGGCAAAACCTTTTGATGTGTCCTTTCTTGCCACAGTGGTTGCATGTAATATTATAGCATTTAGACCTTGACTTACTTCTACTTTTACCTCTATTCCTTGAGCCTCTTGTTCTATCTCTCCCCCGGTCTTCTGTAACCAAGATATCTGCTTGTGAGGACGAACCCTGAGATTTTCTCCTTACTTCCTCGTTCAACACACAACTCTTGGCATATTTCATGGTCACCTTACCTCTAGGAGCTGAATTTGTCAAAGAAACACGAAGAGTTACCCAAGAGTCTGGCAGAGTATTAAGAAGCCAAAGTCCTTGTATCTCATCATCAAAATTAACTCCCATTCCAGATAGCTGATCAAGGACGCCCTGAAAATCATTTATGTGATCAAGGATAGGGCTGCCTTCCTTATATTTAAAGGTCATCAATTGCTTTAGCAAAAATAATTTGTTGTTCCCGGTTTTTGAAGCATAAAGAGTCTCTAGCTTTTCCCACAATGATCTCGCATGTATCTCGTTCACAATATGGTTGCGAACATTATCTTCAACCCATTGCCGTATATATCCACATACTTGTTGGTGCTCGAAATTCCAAACTTCATCGGATATACTCTCGGGTTTATGAGCTCAAAAAACGGGTAGATGCATCTTCTTCACGAACAACAAGTCTTTCATCTTGCTTCTCCAAACATTATTATTTCTCTCATTTAAACATATCATCTTGCTCATATTCGCCTCCATTCCATAACAACCCGGATAAATAACCAAGGCTCTGATACCACTGTTATGTTGAGGAAGAGGCAAACCCGAAAATAAAGAAGATAAAGAACAGTTTGGTTGGCTTAAATGTTTTGGAAAGTATTTTCCTTATGAACTCATTTTCCTCGAAATGGAGGAAAATGTTTTCCTTATCAAGAGAAGGGAAAACATTTTTCAAAACTTCTTCTCAATCTTCCCCACCCTCACCAACCCACCCACCCCCTCTCCAAAAAAGACTTTTTTTTTTCAATTTCAGTTTTTCCGTTACCACTCACCCTACTACCCTCCACCCCACTGCACCACCCAATCGCCCCCCCTCCCCCACACCGCAAAATGCAATTTCAAATTTTTGTTGTTTCGTTTTTCTGCACCCCCACCCCACCCCCACCCGCACAAAAAAAAATATTTTTTTACTTTTTTTTCGTAATTTAAATTTCTGTTTATTTTTCGTTATACTGACCCCCCCTCCCCCCCAAAAAAATATTTTTTAAATATATTTTTCAATTTTAATTTTTTTTATTTAACGGATTAAAGGTTCAAAATTTTACAAGTTCCAAAATTATGAGTTCGGAGGATTATGTGTTTGGGAGTTTACGAGTTTAGAAATTATAAAGTTTACGGGTTCGAAATTCCGCGATTTTGAAAGTTTAGCGGTTCGAAAGTTTATGAAATTTGTGGGTTCGGAAGGTTGTTGGTTTGAAAGTTTATGGCTTCATGTTTATTATATCTAAATTATTTATGAATACTCTCGAGAAGTCATTTTCCTTAATTTGCGTACCAAACACTGGAAAATGAATAAGATTACTATTTGTTTTCCAAGAAAACATTTTCTTGGAAAATATTTTCCACGGAAAATATTTTCCGTTATACCAAACACACCCTTAGAGATGGAATACTTTGTGTATTTAACTATGGGGGCCTGATTTTTTTCCCTTGGTGTGGGAAGACTTTTTGTTAAATAGTGGAAGTGAGACATGTATGTAAGAACTCTGTCTACTCTGATCACCTCATCCAATCCAAAAGCTTAAACCGTTTGGAGGAACTCTTATGTTTATTCATCTATCTTAACAAGCTGAAATAATCATGTTAATTTCTTTCAACTGACTCTCTTTTATTTCCCTGCTCTTTGGGAATTTCATTATTCATCTAAAAGCAGGCCCTAATGGGATAAATTGCATATTATAACAGCTCTTCTGTCCTTTTTATGCACAACGCATGCAATAGCGACGAGTTAACGAGGAATTCAATGCAAACCTGAAATGGTACCATTCAAGTGTAACTTTTCAATCACTAAATCCATTGCGAAAAAAGAAACTAGGAAAAAAAAACAAATTCATGATCACGAGTCCCGTTATGAGCTTCTGAAACTCTGCCAGATATTTCCGGTATAAGATGTTCAATGTTGAAATATCAGCAATCCTATGTACTACAGCCAATTTATTGAATCCAGATGTATAACTTATTTGACAAATGGAGCTATAACTTAATAAGCCCCTGGTAACAAACAGATCATGAATGATATGTCGGGTAATAAGAAAAGCAACAAGCTAAGATCATAACCAGAAAACTCAGTGGAAAAAGAGAGCCATTTCCAGTAACCTGTCTGGTAATAGATGTTGTTGGAGGATCAATGGTTAAATGAGCTGCATGGAAGAATGAACCGATGTACAAAATTCCGGCTAATCTAGAAACGAAATAGAGGAGAAAGAAGAAGGGTCTGTTTTCTGGCTTGTTACAACTCAGAGTGCCTGTTCTTCTCTATCTCATTTTGGAACTTCTCGAAAACTTCTTCAAACGGAGGGTCGCCTGGTCTTCGAAATAGTTGGTCCCCTATTTTAATCTCATATGCTTCTTCTTGTTCTAGCAAAAACTCTTTTAACTGCAAAATGGACAAAGAAAATCTCAAAAAATCCAGCATGCAGAATCTCATGTTTTATCACATAACTGAAGACACTTTTAATTATAGGAGAGAGTTAAACTGGCTCAAACATGCATTAAGCATTTGGCATGTACAGATACCACATTAAGCAAAAGTTGAGCATCAACTTAAAGAATATTGCAAAAGAAAGTAACGACGACAAACAGCTATAATACGGCACAGATGGTGATCATCCAACAATTAGCAATGTCACATTAAGGTTACCATCCAAACAATGAGAAAGATGCCTCCTATCATTCATTCTGTTTTCTTGATGATCATAATAAGAACGCCAAAAAACTGCAGGATTGAATTCCATAGCAGATTTGGAAGTAATAATAAGCAAACCACATTGAAGAGTACCTCCTTTGAACAAAATAAAAGGTTTTATTGGCATCATGCGATGAAATTGAATAAATGCAGGATGAACCTCAAGTTGCTTGATATGATCTCTAAAATGGAGTAATTTAATATCTTTAAAGCTATTCTCTAATGGACTAATTGATGTTTTCACCCTAACCCTCCCATGTTACACCACTTTTGTGTGCTTACTGAGTTTCGAGGAGAAAGAGCTAATAGTTACAGAGAGTTCAGTGTTGACGTAAACCAGGTGTAACAAAGGGAAAATGTTATCTTTTTCTTGCACTATCTCACATTGTTTGTTCTCCTTTCACTCTGAGTTTCTCTGATGATTCACTTTTCATTTTCCTCTTTTCAAATTCTCTAAATCTTACCATAGAGTTTCTTTAAGTGATTAAGAAGAGAAACGAAAACAGTAAGGCGACTTTTCTGGAAATTGTCAGGGAAACTTGATATTCAACCTAAAATCAATCTGTTCTTCATATGTGCTGTGTATTCTCTGCCACCATATTCTTAAGTGGTTAATGTTGAAAAACAGAACAACAGTTTACAAAATTCCCTAGTAGTTTTAGCCTTTTGAACAAGCTCTTTTCTGGAAGCACCAATAGGCAAATTCAGCAGTTACAGAAGAAGATATCTGATTTAGGAAGTAAAACAAACCTGTTTAGTGTCTTGACCTTTTTCCATAGTGAACATGATCGTGCTAAAATCAACACCTATGAACTTTGTCTCAATTGCTCCAGTTCTTGCCAGATTGGTCCACCTCTTGGCGATATCAGAAACCATAACCTGAAAATGATTTTAATCTAGACAAATAAGTTCTACTACCATGTACAACAATATGCGACAAGAGAATTAACATTGACATATCAATAACTAAAAAGTTGAGGAATATTTTTCAATTGGTGAGACAATTTTGTGTAGTTTGAGGTTTGAATGGTAGTTCAGTCATAAAGCTCCTACCTTCTAGGTACAGGTTTTGATCTTACAAAGTCCTTCCCTTTACCTCCCACACAAAAAACCAATTAATCACTATGGCTCAATCCCAAACTTGTAGCGGCTATAGAAATCCTCTATATCTACTCTCTGTATTAACGCATATTCATCCAATATTGTAGAATTTGTCTATTAAGCTAATTTAAAGGCTCTCCAGAACTAGAGATTCTCAATCGAGATCTTACATTTATCCCTACATCAACATAGAAATTTCTAAGCAGACACAATATAATATACGTGTAACAACAACTAAGCCTCAAGTACGTGATAATAACAAAAATTGTGTCTTGATCTTAACCAGTTGGTATCGCCTATACAGATCCTTTGCTTCCTTTGTGTCCTATTCTTAGCTAAGTACTCCATTATCGATGCCGAGATATTGTAGCTCTTTTGAAAAGACATCTTTTATACAAAAATCTAAATAGAAAAGAAAGGTCTCGGTACCATATTCCACAGCTGATCAAAAGTGTTCAATTTTAGCAAAGCGATTAATTTACCGGCTGATTACTATTCCATATTCCGAAGCTAATAAGGATTTAGCATTAGTCAAATCATCAATTAACAAAGCATTCAAATTACGGTAAAAAAGAGATACCGGAGTCCGAAGAGTTCCAGGTCGGAGCTTAACGAATCCGAAAACGGGTCCTAGAACCCTCTTCATCATTTCAGCTTGGATATCCTTTGGGCTCATTTTGCTTACATCATTCGGCGGCGGATCGAATTCGGAGTTGGCGATTTCCTTCTTGTTGCTCCATTGTTCCTCCTCCTCGTTGTCTACGACGTCGTTAAGGTCGTCAGAAACGTGGATCCTGCGTTGTAATCCATCCGCGAAACGGTGAAAACTTAGGGTTCCAGTGGTAATCAAGAGCAGCAACAAGCAGATTGTGTAACAACATCTACGCAATTCCTTTAACATTGTACCAGCTAATTAGGTGCTTGCATGTGCAATGATTTGGTAATGGAGTGCTGGACGTGAAGTGAGCATGTTGGAATTTAGATGTAAAATCTTACCACCTGAAAGTTTATATTAGGTGAAGCTCTTATTATGATTACGGCTCAACTAATTTATCGCATGATATGCTACAACATAATAATATATTATTATAAATTGTAATTACAAGCTAGAATTTGAACGTAGAACCTCCGATAGTTATAGTTATGTATCAACCACTTTACACACTGAGGTTGAGCTACCCTATAGTTCGGCCGAATCCAGCTACTTTGACTTGAATATTATATTTTAATTAGAAATTATATAAATATTTAATTATAAATCCAATAACTAAAACGAATGTTGAGTTTCATAGTAAATTCAGAAACTTTAAATCACGACTCCGCCTTCATTTACACATTCCTTGGGACTTGGTAGGATTAACACATTACTTCATTTTGCAAGTGAAAATACAACATTAGATTATAATTCGAATTTGAGTTTATCTTTAATTATGACGATACCTCCTTTTCTTTACCCGAATTGAATAGGTGATCCTTTAGAATTTTTTTGGAAAGCTACCAGGTAATTGAAATTGGTGTAATTACTAGATTAGTAATTACATAGTCTAGTAATTACACATTTGTGTAATTACGACGACCTGTTTGTTTGTCATAGTGTAATCATAGTGTAATTACAAGTTTACTGTTTGGTTGCACATGTGTAATAACATAGTTAGATTAAATTTTAAATAAAGTAATTATCAAAACTTGAAAGTTAATATAATAAATATATGTCTATAAATTTTTATAAGTATAAATGATATTATATTTGGTATTAAGATATATAGTTTTCGTGAATATACATTAATTAGTAATCATATATTTATAACTAATAATATAAAAATAATTTATATATATTTTCCAAATTAGTAATATTTAGTTTAGATACTTACAAAACTAAAAGATACGTTCTGTAAGAACATCATGGAATTCATGTTTAATAAAACTAATTAATATTTATAAATATAATGTCATAACGTTATCCAAATGTTTGATAAAACTAATCTATCAATTCTAATTAAAATTGAACGACATGCAATGTGAGCCAATACTATTAAAACAAGTAAATTGAAACCATGAATATAACACAATTTCAAAATCCAAAAAAAAAATAGTTTAACATATGTCAAATTCCAACATAATAATAGTAAGTTCACTACAACTTAAGATTAGGAAACATAATAAGTTTATAACCACATTCAACGACGAAATTTCACTTTAATTGCATCACTCATTATATGCCAAGTTTGTTAATGACTCATTATTTCTAATATTAGAAGGTATAGTTTCAAAAAATAGAATAATAAAATAAATAAAAAATAAAATATAAGCAATTACATGGAATCACAAGAAGCAAAGGTAGAGAAATAAAAGATAAATAATGTACAAAGAAAAATGTATTTTAAAATTTCAAAAGAAATTAAAAAGTAAAAATAAAATTAAAAAAGTAAAATAATAGAAATAAAAAGTTATAAAGAAAATAAATTAAAAAAGGAAAGAAACTAAAAAGCAACCTTGTAATTTCTCACGACCCGAAATTCCCACCATCGGGACCGTGATGGCGCCTAACATCGCACTCGCTAGGCAAGCCAACGTTAGAGTTTTATTCACATTTTTCCTTTACATTTCATAGATTAAAATTAGCAAAACTAAATCAAGTTGAAATAAATGCGGAAGTACGTAAATAACCTGTTATCTATATACTATTAACAATACCATAACTGTCACTACCCAGAAACTGGTGTCACAATCCACGAACATACTATGAATTACTACAAATATCGGTCTGAAAGAAATTACATCTGTTTGAAACGAAAGAAAAACAGAAGTATAGAAATGTAGAAGGGGACGCCAACATGACTACCTTGGGTATCCAAACTGTGAACCTGTAGTCAATCTCTGAATCAGCCACTGCCTGCTCCGAAATCTGCATAGCAAGTACAGTATCACCACAACCGACCCCATGTACTGGTAAGTGCCGAGCCTAACCTCGACGAGGTAGTGACGAGGCTACGGCGGGGCAATTACAATATGACCTGCATATAGTATATAACAAAGCAAAAAAGAAGTACGGGACAAAATGAAACAGTAATTGCAGCAAAAATGAATACGGAACTCAAATATCTTATCAGTACCCAGCTATAGCCAATCCTTAAGTGAGATACCAAACCACAGAATAAATTCACAACAGAAGAAGGATACAGAAACAATATACTGATGCGGCGCGCATCCCGATCCCACCATATAATCAGTAACAATAGGAACATTCACCCTTATTGCTCTGTATCAATCCACCCTTATTTCTCCTATTGCGGTGTGCAACCCGATCCTACCGTACAATAACAATCCACCTTTATTATTCCTCAATATATCACCCTTATTCCTCATGTTGCGGCACGCAACCCGATCCCACCAGATAATCACATTTCACCCTTATTCCTCCTCAATATATCACCCGAGCCTTCATATAATAGACAACCCTGGTGGTAGAATGACCAGGAGTCCCTCTCTACTCTAATGGAGGCAACCTCGACAACGTTAAGGTTACGGTCTTGGCGTGACAGTCCAATATAGCATGATAAGGTGACAGCCAATCCATCCCCAAAATAACATCGGAATCAACCATAACGAGAAGTAGGAGATCTACGCTGGTCTCAAAACCCCAATAATAACCACACACAAATGATAGACACGATCTACAACAGAATCCCCCACCAGTGTGGACACATACACGGGAGCACTCAAAGAATCACGAGGCACAACCAAATATGAAGCAAAATAAGATGACACATAGGAGTATGTAGACCTTAGATCATATAGAACTTAAGCATCTCTACTGCAAACAGAAACAGTACCTGTGATAATAGCATCGGATGACTCAGCCTCAGGCCTGGCTGGGAAAGCATAACATCGGGGCTGGGCCCTACCACTCTGAACCATATCCTTGGGACGGCCTCCTGCTGGCTGGCCTCCACCTTTAACGGCCTGGCCTCTACCTCTAACGGCCTGACCTCCACCTCTAGCGAGCTGACCTCTACCTCTGGCTCCCTGACCCCTACCTCTAGCTGGTTGAACGGGCGGTGCTGGGATCATGGCACGAAAACCCTGCTGCTGTGACTGAACACCCACTAATCTCGGACAGGTCCTCTGGATATGCCCATACTCACCACACTCGAAACATCCATCCTGATACTACAGCTATGGAAACTAAGATTGACCCTGATGGGCTGACTGACCGTGATAATAACTCTGAAGAGGAGGTGCTCTGATAGGAGCTGGCGATGCACTATAAGCTGGCTGGCCTAAATGAGGTACATAAGGACCACGATTCCCTAAAGCTCCATGGGATGTCAGAAGTGCTGAATGAAACGGCCTGGGGGATGGCCCCTACCAAAAGTACCTCGACCTCCAGATGGGGCCCCACTGAATCCACCGGAGTGACGAGGCATCTTGTTAGACACCTGACCACTCCCCTGAGCTAAAACCATCTCAACTGGTCTGGCCACATTGGCTACATCCTGGAAGGAAATCTCACTCCCTGTCTCCTTAGCCATCTGTAATCTGATAGGCTGAGCAAGTCCCTCAATAAACCTCCTTACCCTCTCTCTCTCTGTAGGAAGTATAAGAAAAGCATGACGGGCCAAATCAACAAATCTAGTCTCGTACTGAGTGACAATCATAGAACCCTACTGAAGGCGCTCGAACTGCCTCCGATAGTCCTCTCTCTAAGTGATAGGAAGATACTTCTCCAGAAATAGCTGATAGAACTGGTCCCAAGTAAGAGCCGGCGACCCAGTTGGTCTGGCCAAACAAAAAATCCCTCCACCTAGAGCCGTCAATATGGGCTTGGCCCGTTGGGCCAGCCTAGCCCAGCCCGTGATTTAGCAGGGCTGGGCTAGAATTTTTGGAGCCCACTTTAAAACGAGGTTTTTAAGCCCGACCCGAGTAAGCCCGTGGCCCGTGAGGCTTGATTGAGGCTGGGCCGGGCCGGCCCATGTGCCTAATAAAAATATGTATTTGAAATATATAAAATATGAAAATTATACGACACAAAAATATCAAGAAGAGTATTCAAGCTTAAAGTGTATTAAGCTCATCATATTAAAAGATGAAAGTCTTAAAACATTAATTAGTTTTAAAATTTTAATTATTCTTAATATTTAACTAACTAATATTGCATACAAATTGTAGATGTAAGTGAAGGTATTAAGACAACCTTCTCGCAAGCGGATTCAAATGTGCTTGATGAAGATGATGTGTTGGATATCCCGTAAGCATCATGGACGTTCTCTTGAATAGTTTGTTTTGACTTTTGACTTTTAGTGAATGAAATATTAGTCTCGTCTTTTACTTGTTTAGTGTTTATCATATATTGAAACAGTATAAAAAGTTATTAAGTTTTGTGAAATTTTTCCAATTAGATTTTTTTAACTTCTAAATATTTATCTTTTTAGGTTACAACTTAAAGAAAAAATATAAAATTATATTTAAAAAAATATTGGGCTGGCCCGTGGGGGCCCGTAGCCCACATAGGGCTGGGGTGGGCCGACCATTATAAGGCCCATCAAAAATGGTGGGCTAGCCCAGCCCAGCCCAGCCCGTCAATTGCTTAAGCCCATGTGGGCTGGGCTGGGATGGGCTAGCCAGGCCCCGCCCATATTGACAGCTCTACCTCCACCATATCTTGGCGGAACCTGACAGACGAAGGGCAGCAAACTCGACCCCATTGGTCTCCACTATCCCATGTTCCGTAATACCTCGTGACAACTGTCCAGATAGTCCTGGGGATCCTCTGAAGATGTACCGCCATAGGTAGTGGTGAAAAGCTTGGTAAACCTATCCAATCTCCACAAAGCCACATAAGACATAGCTGATCCATCGCCGGTCTGTGCTGCAATATCCGGCGGAACTACCCCAACGGGCTGAGCTGCTGGAGTCTGAAATTGAGGAGCCATCTGCTCCGGAGTGTGGGTAGCGGGAGTCTGGGCTCCTCCCCCAGCCTGAGAGACGGCTGGTGCTGCAGGAAATGTGTCGGCCTGAGCAAAACTCTCCATAAGACCCACTA